TACGTACGTACGTACGTACGTACGTACGTATGTATGATGTATGTTGAAGTGGACAGAATCGCGCGCATATGGGGGGAGTTAAGAGCACAGCCTACCGGGATATCCCTGAGGCATGCCCTGCTGAGGGTAGGGCATGGCGTACGGGTTGTATCCGGCCGGCATAGCAGTGGGCATGTACCCGTAGGCTCCCGGATAGGTCGCGTAGCCGGCGGCTCCGGGGGCTGCACCGTACGCTGGAGCTGCTTGGCCTGTGTGTTAAGTAACGACGAAGAGTGATGTTACTCGAAAAGGTAGTTTAATGCTGGTGCATGTTGCTGCTTGACACACACGAACTGGCGAACGAGAGTAATATCAATCCGCGTTGACCTAAAAATAATTACTAGATTATAGAATGTGTGCATGCGCGTAGGAAGTAGTCCATACTATTACACTGTGCACGGACACAAAAACGTGGGTGACTCCCTAGCGCCATGCTAACTCCTCGATGAAATGACGTCGTCTAATAGTTTGCGATAGCTTACGCCGTGCTCAAGCAGGCAACTAAATAGGAGTGAAATAACGAAATACGTCAACGGAATCTTGAAATCAATATGCAACGGAGAGAGAGAGAGAGGTAGAGATCAAAGAGAGAGGAAATGGGGGAGACAAAGGAAGCTGGACAGAGAGAGAGAGAGAGAGAGAGAGAGAGAGAGAGAGAGAGAGACAGACAAAGAGATAGAGAGAGAGAGACAAAGAGAGAGAGAAAGAGAGACAACGAGAGAGAGAGAGACAACGAGAGAGAGAAAGAGTGCGAAAGAAGGGTCGGAGGAGAGTGAGAAACAGCGTTCGCACCGCAGCTGCACTTACTGTACGCGGGAAGCTGTGGCGTCCCCTGCCCGGGTGCCGACTGGCCCGCGGCAGCTGCCTGCGCTTGCTCCTGTGGCGCTGAGGGGGCCTGAGGTTGGGCCGGTGGTATGTTTTGCCGGGGAGTGACTGGCGGTGTCGCCACTTGTCCCTGCGCGGCGGCGGCGGCGGCATTTGTTGGAGCGGTCGGGGGAGGTGGCCGAGGGGGAGGTTGCTGACTGGCCGCTACGTAACAACAGCACACGGTGAATGTAGCAAACCAAGTGAGAAATTACTCCCGTTGAAAACACGCAGGGCCATGCGATAAATATTCATGCGTGCGCAAACGTTAGGCTCCAGTGCGACTGGCCACACGCGAACTCTGAAGAGCATGCACTAAAAAAATACAAATTACCTTCACGAAGTCAAAACTGCAATTGGAAAAAACTTCCGCGGCATAAAGTCAACGCAGATGCAAAACTGAAATCACGACAGCAGCAGCACATGTACACTGATCGCTTAGCACGATGTAGCAGCAGAATAAACTTCATGGTAAAGGTCTTTGTCTTTGTTAGACATTTCTCTTTATCCCAGCCATCAAGTAAGCCTGCTGGTACATGTGCTAGGAACCAACTTTATATTGGGTTACACTTAATGGCTGTCACACTGTTAGTATCAAGAGCATGTAGAGATCATGTGCTATATTTTGCTAAAAGTTTACGTGATCTGTATAGTGCGTGTGTGTGTGTGTGGATGTGCGTGTGTGCGTATCTCTCTCTCTCTCTCTCTCTGTGTGCGTGCGTGCGTGCGTGCGTGCATGCGTGCGCGTGCACGCGCGTGTGTGTTTCTGTGCTCGTGTTTAGTTATACATCTATGTCTAACGCCGGACACCATTTCATCATAGTTGTACAAGCAGATATCTGACTCACGTACGCACAACTACATCAAATATCACATCGATGCGAATCACTCTCGCTTTTAGATAAAAGCAGGCGTGTGTGTGGTGGGCACAACCCTAAGCTGCGCTGCATTACTAGTTGGTTAACTCATTCACACAACTGGCAGGTTAACAAAGCTGGGACGACACACACACACAGACGGAGACAGAGACACAGGGAAATTTACGGGCGCCCGTTTTACATCTACCAGTCAACATCGAGTTTGCGGTAAACGCCCGTCCCTGAAACAAAAGACGAGGCGATTGCCAGTGTAAATAATGTGCCAGTGTGCCAGTGTGCCAGTGTGCCAAATGTGCCAGTGTAAATAAACGTCAAGCTTCGGCGCAAACAAATATGTGTCACTCCACACGCTAGGTGCTACTCTTAGTAACGGACGTATATTAGGGATTGCGAAGGTACAGCGTCAATCGACTTGGACATGGCATGTCCATGGATCAACCTCGACGACCATTGGTCACCGAACAGTTGCACACAAGGCAGGATACACAAGGCAGGATCACATTGGAGGCCGTATTTTTACAGTTTAGTGATATGATCGAGCAAATTTCGACACCCAACGCTCCTTCCTCCCCCTCACCACGCACCCACGACTCCTCCTTTCACCCATCCTCTCTCCCTCACGCACGCAACACTCCTTTCTCCCTCCCTCATGCACCCAACACTCATTCCTCCCCTCCTCCCTCCTTTCCCTCCACCCTCCGTCGAGCACACACCCAGACCACCCTCAACCACACAAACCGCATCAAACTGAAGTCACTATCACATCACAACAAGACAGCGCCAAGCATCCCGGCCGTTGTCGCCGATCGACGGCGTCCCCTAGCGAGAAATCGACCGCTACCTTCGTGGTGGCGGGGCGGTTTCGGCGGCGCAGCCGACGGCTGGCTGGCGATGGCCTGCTGAAGGTCCTTCATCAGGTCCTCCTTCTCCATCTTGCGCGCAAAGCAGAAGTCCTTCGTCTTGTTCTGGTGCTTCAGGAGGATCTCGGTCAGGTCGTTGTAGAACTGCGAACGAGCGGTGAGGCGAGGAGCGGCCGATTAATGTGGAGAGGACGGTTCGCCGATGTAAAATTGTGTCAAGTGGTCACGCCATCATTGTTGTCGTAGTCATCATCATCATCAGAGTCGTCATCGTCACCGAAGCAAATTGACGTTAAGTGGTCTCGCCATCGTCGTCGTCGTCATCGTCGTCGTCGTCGTCGTCATCATCATCATCATCATTGTCACCATCGTTATCGCCATCATCATCATCATCATCATCATCATTATCACAATTGTCACCAAAGTAAATTCAGGTTTAGTGGTCTCACCGGCATCATCACCATCATCACCGTCAAATTCACGATTAGTGGCGTCACCACCGTCACCACCATCGTCATCTTCACCATCATCGTTGACGAATCCTCCTCACCTTGGTTCCTTCCTTAAGGTTGCTGGTTAACTCCATAAAGGCATCGAACGCTGCAGCCAGATCCCTCATCACCTCCTCGCGCTTCGCCGCGCTCTGATTGGACGACTTCTGATTGCAGAATTCCGTGTTTGCGCGCTGAAAGGTCGTACATCATGCGTTAGTATTGCTACATATGCACATATATATCGATGAGAATTTATAAATTAAAAAATAGAATTCCGTGTTTGCGTGCTGAAAGATCGTACAGCCGCCATCGCGCGTGAGTATTGCTAGATATACATATAGATTGCTAGATATATATCGATGAAAATTTATAAATTCAAAAATAGGATGAGATGTCAATTTTTTTATTATTTATTATGAAAAATTGGACACCTCATTCTCTTATTACATTTACATATTTTCATCTATATCTTCATGGGTTTCAATTTGTCATTACAAGACCGTGTCGTCGCTGCGTCGTTTGTACATTGACGGTGTACGGGTGCGCATAGATTTTTTACCTATTACTACTTTTTACTATTTTTTACGTTTATCTACCTGTGCATTGCCATGTATGTGTGCCACATAGGACATGTCATGTGCATGTACCTGTACACTGACATACGTTTTTTATCTATTACTACTATTTACATTTACCTACCTGTACATTTCCCATCAGCTCCTCCTGTCTGCGAACACTGTCCACCACCTGCTTCTGCAGGGGGCCATACGTGCTGCTCAGGTCCGAGAACGAGATGCTCTCTTCGTTAATGGCGCCATCTGCCGCCAAAGCCGCCAGGAACCTTTGCTCTGAAAAAAAATGGCCGCACGGTCGTCTATGAGCACTAATACTGGTGAGCAAACAAGTGAACAATTGAAGAGACCAGCGAAGCGACTAGAAAAGAGACTAGTGAACTACAAGTGAAAGGCGATTAAAATACTACATTTGATATTTTGCAGACAATGTATACGTAACTATTTCAAACTATGCATCATAAACGGGCAGTTAATTTGGATTAAAACACACCAATATTTTGCAGACAAATGTATGTGCAACTATTTCATAGTACTGTAGTAAGCATCGTACACAGACAGCTAATTTGGCACAGATAAACAGTCCACGGCCAGGCTTATGTAGCACTTGGGGACCAAGAGGATAAGAAGAAGAAGAAGAAACACCTGTGAACGAACCATACATAAATTCCTCGAATCAGATGACAAGGCATCCCTCTGTAATACGTCTGAACAACCAGAACTGACTGTTACATACGTTAGACGACGTGTCAGTATATACCCTACCCATGTTTGACTTGGCATCTTTGATTTCGCCTTCAATTGCATCTCTCTCTGCCTTGATGGTCTCCACTTGCTCCATGTGGCTTCGCAGTTCAACGACGATGGGGCTGTTTTGCAGGGAACCACCGACACTAGCATGTGGAATGGCTTTCTGTATTTCAGCCTAGAATTGATGGAGATCGATATGTCGTATGAAAGCTGGCGTGTAGGCAAAATTTTGTAATGTTGAATTAAAATTTTTTCCCGAGTTAACGCTCAAAAGCCATAACTATCAAATTACTTCTAGCTTGCCAGAGCTAGTTATAGCTCTATTTGGCCCTCTGTCAAAAACGAAACGGCACATAATTTTTTAGGCAGGCGTATCATGCTGTTAGGCTCCTACACTCACCTCGCTCTGTGACAGCAGGCGTATTCATGCTGCTATGCTCCTACACTCACCTCGCTCTGAATATGAATGCAGGCAGTATTCATCGATGCTGCTTATGCTTCGACTATCACTCACCTCGCTCTGAGTGACAGCAGGCGTAATCATGTGCTAGATGCTCCTACATCACTCTGCTTCTGGGGGCTTTGCTAGCAGGTCGTTCATTCATGCTGCTATGCTCTACCACTCACCCTCTTGGCTCCTGGTCGCGCGACAACAGAAGGCTGACGGGCGTATCATCCTGCATCGCTTGCTTCCCTCACCTTCGCTCTGTCGAGAGCAGTGTCACATCAGCTGGCATGTTCCAATCCACACTCACTGCGCATCTGCGAAGCGCAGGCGCTCTCATCAGTAGCTGCTACTTAGCGCTGCTCCACTCACCTCGCTCTTGTTCGACGTGCGGCGATCTCATCGCTGCACGCGCTATAATAGCTCCGAATGCGAAGATCGCACGAGCTCGCTCATGTGACAGCAGGATGTTATCCTGGCATGCTGCTGAATGCATCGATTGAGGCACTCCCTCTCGGACTCGCTGTGACAGTGACAGTTGCGTATCAGCTGCAGTCATGATCTACCACTTCAGGCGCTACGCTCTGTTGACCGGCAGGCTTATTCATCGATGAGATGGCTATGCTTCTCAGTCACGCCTCGTGACGTGACGTGATGAGACGAGGCGACACAGTCGCCACAAAAGACCACACACACACACAACCACCCCAACACACATCACACAACCACAGCGCCGCGGCGCGCGCAAACGCACACACACAAACCACACACACACACCACCACCGTAATTATTATATATAGCTATTCAAATCTATATGTATATCATGTTTATTTGCTTCTTATATTTTACAACATTCATTACCCGTGCGCTCTAGTAGAACACACGCAGGCGAGTATCGAGTGCTGCTATGCTCCCACACTCACTATCTTCTTCTCTCTGTGAGCTTATTCGACCAGCGCACGCTAGCTAGGAGTCAACCAGCTTCGAGAGTATCTTGAGGTTCCAGGGTGTGCTTATCCAGCACTTGCCAGCGTGGGCTTGTTACCTTTAACTAGACATGCCTCGCTTAGATCCCTCCGGTGTTAACCTCCGTGTTGATAGCACGAGTTTTCAAGTGCTGTCATCTTGCTCACGATCGTCGGGCTGCTTATTGTCGTCGCGCTAGCATCGCTCGTGTGGTCGTCCGGAACAACCGCATACCGTCAGACTGTACTTTCGATCACAGACCATTTCCGCCTCAGGCCTTTTTTTTCTTCGTCAAGTACGATAGCCCGTCAGTGGCGCTATGCTCTACTCGCAGCGTCTAAGAACTTTTCGCGGATCGTTTTCTTTAAGGTCATAGACTGTTATGTGTTACGCCTTTTTCACTCACCTCGCTCTGTGACCAGAGGCGGTATTGGTATCAACGACAATGGGGGGCCTGCAGTCAGCATGGCCTCCTAGGCCAGAGCTTCCAGCTCATACAGCTCCAGCCAGGTGCGCGTCCTGCTGATGCAAGAGTTGTCTCTGCTGCCTATGCTCCTACACTCGACTCGGCTTGTGACAGCACGGAGCACTATCATCATGCTGCTATTGCCTCCTACACTCACCCCTACTGTTACGGCAGTGGGTCATCCATGCTCTGCCTATGCTACCTTACACTCACCTCGGCGTTCGTTGTTACAGCCGGGGTATCATGGCTGCTCATGCCTTCTCACTAGCCTCCCGCTCCTGTGGCACAGCAGGCGTTATCACATGACGCTTACTTGCGTCCCTACCGACTCACGTCCTCGCTCGGTGTGGTGGACGGCAGGCGTATTCTGCTGCTGCCTTGCGGCTACTTACGAGTTTACGCCTCTCGCTGATTGGCTGCTGACAGCAGGGTATCATCGCTGGCATATGCTCTTACACTCAGCGTTTTTCGCTCCTGATTTACATGAGCGCGCGTCAGCTATCGCGATTGTCATCATAAAGTGCTATCGCTCTCTATACAGCTCAACCTCGCTCTGTGAACAGCGAGGAATTAGATTAGGTTCATCCAGTGCTGGCTCATCAATTATAGCGCACGCTTACCTTCTTTCAAACCTCAGCATTTTCTTTTGTCCCCATTGACCATCTGAGCCAAGGGATGATATCATGCATGTGTCATTGTCCTACACTCACCTCGCTCATGTGGCGTTGCGTATGATGACGCTTAATGCTCTACACTCACCTCGCTCTTGTGAAGCAGGCGTTATCATGCTGCTATCTCGCTACAGTGCTTTCAGCTTTTGTGACCTGCAGAGTACGTTTCTGCATGCTGCTATTTGGGCGTCTACATCCCTCGCTCTGGTGGACCGGCCGAGCTTGGCGGCCACGGGGAGCGGCCGGTGATTTTGAGTGTCGTGACTATGCTCCTACACTCATCGTGCGCTGAATGGACATTTGGCAAGGCGCTAGTATCACTGCTGCTTATGCTCCTACACTCATTCGCTCCTGGCAGCAGGCGTATCATGCTGCTATGCTCCCTACATCACTTCGTCTCTCCGACTCCCCCCAGACGGCACCAGCTTCGGCCGTGGTCCTTGGCGACCGTTTCGGGCCGACGCTGCTTCTTTACACAGCTCGTGACTGTGCTGGGTTTGCTTTAATGCGTCACCTCTTCACTCGCTTCGTGCGGCCTCGCTGTCGCAGCAGCTTTGCGGCGTTATATCATGACTTTGGCTCTGGCCTACCTCAGCTCACTCGCTACTCGGCTCGACACCGCCCGCGCCCGTGGGTCGGTAAGCTCCATTATGTTGAGTGCTTTTGCGCTATGCTCTACAACTGCCCCCTGCGTTCTGCGTGTGTGACAGCGAGCGCCGGTATTGGTGTCGCTGGGATGCCTCCTAGGACTCACTCCGCTTCTGGGTGGAACAGCAAGCGTATCTCAGTGTTTGCTTGCTTCTACCGTCACTTTCGCTCTCGCGACACGCAGGGTTTCGTTATCCATGCTGGGCTATTGCTCTACATTACACTCTCGCTTCTTGCTGTCGCGCAGCGTATCATCATTGCTGCTATGCTCCCTCGGCTCTTTAACCTCGCTCGGTGTTGACAGCAGGCGCGTTCATATGTTCATGCTTTGTTTGCTTCCTACACCTGCGCACTCGCTCTGCTCGAAGCAGGCGTATGTCATGCTGCTATGCTCCTACAATCATCGTTCGCTCGGCTGTGGAAGCAGGGATTCGTCTTTTTTCATTCATGGGTGCTATGTCGGTACACTTCACCTGCGCTTCGGGCTTTGACGCGGCATAGGCATTTGTATCTTCGCCTGCTATGCTGCGTGTACTCACTCACCTGGACTGGTGCTCGTTTAGCAGGCAGCGTTCTACAGTCATGCTGGGCTATGCTGCCTACCCTCACCTCGCTCTGCTTTACCGCCAGGCGTATCATTTGCTGCTACGCCGTCCTACTCACCTCGCCTCTGGCGACAGCAGGCGTGTCATCTGCTTGCTGTATGCTCCTCCTACTCACTCTCGGGTCGGCAGTGTGACAGCAGCGGCCGAGTCTCATTGTGCGTATGCGTGGCGGCCTGACACTCACTCGCTTTCGTGCTGATGTCAGCCGAGGGTATCATGCTGGCTTGTCTAACACTCACCTTCGCTCTGTGAGGCTGAGGCGTGTTTCAATTAGTGCTGCTTGCTCCTACAGCTCAGCCTCGCTCTCGTGCGTTGACAGCAGTGGCGCATTCAGTGCGCGGTGCTCTGCTCCTCCTCACTCTCGCTCTTGTGCAAGCAGGCGTATATCGTAGCTGCTATGCGCTAACGTGGGCAATCACCTCGGTCTTGTGACAGCACGGCGTATCATGCTGTATGCTTCGGTACATGACTCGTCTCCATGTGACAGCTAGGCGTATCATGCTGCCTTATGCTCCTACACTCACTCCGCTTCTGGCGCAGCATGGCGCTATCATGTTGCTGATGCTCCTACCTCACTCGCTCTGTGACAGCAGGATTCATGCTGTATGCTCCTACACTCAGCCTCGCGCTTCGCTGTGAGCAGCAGGCGTAATCATGCTCTAGTCCTAATTTTGGATCTTCGGATCACTTCGGCTGGCGCTGTGGATAAACGCAGGCGTTCATTGCTGGCTTAGGGTGTCTTTTCACTCACCTCGCTCTGTGAGGCAGGCCGATAATCATTCTGCCTTTGGCTATGCTCCTGGCATTCGTCACTCGCTCTGTGACGGCAAGGCGTTTCATCTGCTGCTATGCCCTCCTTTACACTCATACCTCGCTACTGTGACAGCAGGGTATCATGCTGCTATGTCTCCGACACTCACCTCGCTCTGCGCCGCAGGGTATCATGGATGCTGGGCTTGCTCCTTGATTGCCTCGGCGCTCGGTGTGACAAGCAGGTGCCGTTCTATTGCTTGCATATGCTCCTACACTCACTCGCTCTGTGACAGCAGGTGTATCATTCATGCGCCTATGCTCTACATCACCTACGCTCTGCCTGACGCAGGCCGTCTCATGTCGGCGTTGCTTCGCGTGCTCTGCTCCAGCGCACGACGCCGTCCGCCGGTACTCTGCGTTGAATCAGGGATCGTCTGGAACTTGCTGGCCTCGGCGCGCAGCGGTCGGTGAGCATTAGCCCGACGGCTTGTGCGCGTCCACCCGGCGCGGCGACGCACTGCTGAGCAGCACGCTGTTTCGTCCGCTGTCTGTTATTCCCTTCGTTAAGCTGCCTAACCGATTTGCAATAGTAGTAATGTCAGCTAGTATAGCTCGGAGTAACGTCTGACAACTTAGGTTAGTTATATTGGTTTTGGTTTGAGTAGGTGTATTGTAGCTTAGGACTGCTATAAGATTGTTTTTACTAGTAGTATGTAGGTATAGACTGCAAATAGTCATCGATAGTCGAGTAGTATAGAGTTATAGACTGCTTCAATAGTAGTAGTTTAGTTTTTTGTTTATACGCAGCTATTTTGACTGGTGCCATCGCGTAGGCGTGCGTTTTCAGTAACGTAGTGTTTCTGAATCGCGATAAGCATAAGAGGCTGTAAATATGCCTCTTAGTTTTATGTATAGACTTTGTGCCGCGATGTTGAGTAAGACTCAGTTCGAGTAGTTACTGATGTGTTGTCGTAGTATAGACTATGTCGAGATTATGTTTTTTTTAGTTTAGTACTTAGGCTATATGTGACTGCGACTGAGTTTAGCTCGCTTATGAGTGTTAATTAGACATGCACAATCAGTGAGTTAGTTTATACGTGATATTGAGAGCTGCGAAGTGAAGTGAAGGCTCATGGATAGTGTTTGATAGATAGGTATGATGAGATAGAGTGGGAGTATAGAGTGATGAGAGCTGACGAGAGAATACAGGAAGGTGTAGATAAGTAAAGGTGGATAGAAGAGATAGTAAGTGATAGAGAGAGCGTATGCAATTAGTGAAGTAGTAGTGCGAGAGATGAGGAGTAGTGAATAGTGTGAGCAGGTGGAAGTAGAGAGGAGTTTAGATTAGTATAGACTGCGAATAGTGTAGTAGTGAGCTGTAGTGTAGGTTAGCTATTAAGACTGCCAATAGTCCAGTAGTGTAGTATTTAGTATAGACTGCAATAGTTAGTAGCTTAGTATAGGACTGCAAATAGTTAGTTAGTAGTAGTAGTATCAGTATTAGAACTGAATTAGGTAGTAGTTAGTAGTAGTGTATAGTATAGCTGCCAATAGTGTAGTAGTAGCTAGACTTATGTATAGACTGCAATGTAAGCTAGTTATCGTATAGACTGCCAATAGTGTAGTAGCTTAGTGTAGTAGTCGTAGTAGTAGTAGTATAGGTTATAGATCTGGTCATGTGTCATGTCATATATTTAGTTTGGGTGGTTTAATGTATTTAGTTATGGGTTTAGGGTTAGTGTATTATCAATCATTAATCATTAATCATTAATGATATCAAAGTTGGGAACACTCCCAATGGCAACTCGGCCGCGACTGCGCCGCAGCACACGCCAACAACGACAGTTAAACATTCGTTTGCAGACGGACTAACCTCGTTCATGATCTCGCGATTGCGCTGCAGCAGCTCGGGAAGCTCGTTGAGCTCTCGCTGGAGGCCGTCGACTCCTCCCTCGGCCCTCACGCCGGCCGCCTTCTCCTGTATGGACGCGGGCAGCGTGTCGCCCGCGCCGGGACCCAGGTCCTCAATCGCCGCCGGCAGATTGAGCGACGCCAGGATGCTGAAACAATCGAACGTGCGAGCTTCAGCCAGCGCCGTGTACGGGGAACCGTGACAGGAAGTTAGACATCGGAACACATAGGCTACTAGGGCCACGTGCGTCCGACTACCGCGTCCGACGCTCGACCACTTGGCACGCGTAAATCGGGTCATCAAGCAGTTGTTTGCGCGTTCTCGGCTTAACATGCTACATGACCATTTTCGTGTCCCCAGTTCAAAAAGCCGCGAAGTCGTTTGCGCGCTCATGACTCGTGTGTGTGTCCAAGGTTGAACGTGGTGAGCAGTCGTTTGTATAGTGAACGACAGTCAACTTCTTGGCTTCGTGTGTTACGTGACCGTGCGCGTGTCCCTAATTCAAAGTGTCACGCAACCATCTGTATAGCCAACGACTGTCAAGTTCCTGGCTTAACACGTTACGTGACCGTGTTCGTGACCCCGGTGCGACGTGACCCTCGCGCGTGACCCCAGTACACTGTGACAAACATTCATTTGCACGTTCCCAGCTCTTACATGCCAGACAACAGTGTGCGTGTCGCCAGTTCAACCTGTCAAACATTTACCTGTCACGCAAGCTCTCTCACCTATTCATCAGCTGCGTTGCCTCGCGCAGCCGGCCCACCTCCGTGTTGACGACCTCGGCCTTGCGCGTGTCGTATGCAGCCAGCGCCTGGTGCACGGCGATCGGCACCAGCTTCTCAAACAGATCTGCAATGTAGAGGGCGCCGGCGAGTGAACGCGACATCGTCGGGACGCGTCACGAGGCGACGCACGTGTTTATTGTATTACGTGTTCTTAGACGACGTTTATTGTAATGTGATTTTTTTTATTAAAATGAATATTTTACATACATACATGCATGCATGCATACATACATCCACGCACGCACACGCAGACGCACACGCACACGCACACGCACACACACACACACACACACGTGCCTTGCGCATTGTAAAGGTACAAAAACCTCAACGCAACCTCCGCGTACAAAAAACACTCAACCTGCGACAGCTGCATGGCGACCCCCTACCTGTGAACTGTGCTCATGCGTGCCGCGAGGGGCAGCGGCTTGGCGAGCAGCGCCACCTACCTGTGAACTTAGTGCTCATGCGCGCAGCTAGGGGCAGCGGCTTGGCGAGCGGGGCCTTGCCGATGGGCGGCAGCGTGGCGGGGTCGGGGATCGGCTCGTGGTAGATGAAGTCGTTGTCCTTCTTGGCGGCGTCGTGTGCGAGGCGTATCCTCGTCGCGTGACGGTCGACGACGAGCAGGCCATTACTGCGGCTCTGCGACGCCTTCACGAGCTGGTCGGCTTGCTGCGGGGGAGGTAACACACACATTAATACATCGCGACGCCTTCACGAGCTGGTCGGCTTGCTGCGCGGGAGGTAACACACACATTAATAC